ATAGACTAGACTATAGACTAGACTATAGACTAGACTATAGACTAGACTATAGACTAGACTATAGACTAGACTATAGACTAGACTATATACTAGACTATAGACTAGACTATAGACTAGACTATAGACTAGACTATATACTAGACTATATACTAGACTATATACTAGACTATATACTAGACTATAGACTAGAATATAGACTAGACTATAGACTAGAATATAGACTAGAATATAGACTAGACTATAGACTAGAATATAGACTAGACTATAGACTAGACTATAGACTAGACTATAGACTAGACTATAGACTAGACTATAGACTAGACTATAGACTAGACTATAGACTAGACTATAGACTAGACTATAGACTAGACTATAGACTAGACTATAGACTAGACTATAGACTAGACTATAGACTAGACTATAGACTAGACTATAGACTAGACTAGAAAATAAAATAAATTTAATAAATAAACAATAACAATTTGTACTAGTTATTTCAAATCACTCACCTTTTTCTTTTGCCGTTTGTTTTTCCTTACATAAAAAAACAAAATTGCCATTTTGCAAGTTGCAAGTTGCAACATACATTCCCTCCAACTCTTTTTCTTAAATTTTTTTTCATTATTTTTCACACCTTTTCCCCTCGGACTTTTTTCAGATAAATTTTTTTCTTTCCAAACTCTCCCACTAACCCCTTTTGATTAATGCTTTCTCATCACTAAACAAAACGAATGGTCCGACAAAAGAACCGGCACTCGGCCTGGAAAAATCTCATTGAATTTTTGGCAAATTTTAAAACATTTTTTTAAATTAATAATTTAACACATTTTTACCAACATTTTTCCATAATGGTATTTATAAACCATTTTCAACAAAAATATTTAAATATTAATTAACAATTAATGCTTTAGATTAATTTAAACAAAACTATTAACGCTGAACAACCGAACACTTAAGAAATTTTTAGAAACTAAAGAAGAAGGCAAAAAACTAAAGAAACAAATGGCAATAGAAATTAACATTGTTGTTGTTAGTACTCCATTTAAAGAGAAAATATCTAATAACAATAACAACAACTGCAACTAGAGATACTTTTTGTTATTGTTCCATTTCATTAGTTTTCTTATTATTTCTAAAGTGTTCCGTTGTTTAGGATTAATGATACTGTTTAAATTAAGCTAAAACGTTAATTAATTGTTAATAATAAAATATGTATGTTGTATAATATTAAACAAATGTTAATTTATATCGGTATATAAAAATATTTATGAAAATAACTGACTAGACTGAACTATAGACTATGACCACGCTTTCTTTCAATATCAAAAAGTAATGAATAAACTACTACATTTCCCATGCCTGCTTCAATGAACCCGTTAGTTCCAAGGCTTCTAATCTTAAGTAATTTCTTACAGGCTTAAAACATTAACAGTTATATGTTGTTTACTTTATTATCTATCACACTGTAGCAACATGTATTCAAGCTCACAACATGCGTGTATATTCGTAATGATATTGAACTTGACTACAGTGGTATTCGTTATGTTGTTGTTATTTTCATGGGTGGATGGATGGATGAATGTACATTAAATTTCATAAAGAGCATCCAACTATGTATCACTACAACTCGATTACGACTGTTTGTCTGTGTGGGTAGTTCATAATTTTATTTTGATCCATGTACGAACGGGCTCCAACGCATTCATTCGTATTTTCAATTGTTTTGCGAAAATGTTTTTATTTTTTTTTTTTTGAATTCAATTATGTTAAATGTGAGGTTAATTGTTAATTTTTTCGCCGCAAACTTATGGATTGAGTATTAGGTGTAGGCAATTAATTTTGGGGCATTATTTTTTAACTGAATTAAGAGAGCATAATGAGAATCGAAATCACAGCCGTCAGCCTAATTGGACTAGTTTCATTGTGTGATTATACCCTACACCACTTTAGTGGGGAAGGTATATTGGATTTGTGCTGATGTTTGTAACATACAAAAATATTCGTCCTAGACCCACCTTAATGTATACCAATCGGCTTAGAATCGTTTTCTGAGTCGATTAAGCTATGTCCGTCCGTCTGGCCGGCTGGCCGGCTGGCTGGCTGGCTGGCTGTCCATGTAAACCTTGTGCGCAAGGTACAGGTCGCAATTTTCAAGATAATTGGATGAAATTTGGCACGCACGTTTTATTTGACCCAAGGACGAAGCCTATTGAAAATGGTTAAAATCGGTCCATTATTTCACCTAGCCCCCATAGAACAGAACCCTCCGAAAAGGGCTTCTGAGCTCATAATTATGTTAAATATACAGATATATCGATAAAATACGGCACAACTAAGTTTTATAGAAGTCTTGATGACCCTGCCAAATTTCATAAAGATCGGGCCCCATTTGACCCTAGCTCCCATACAAAGTCCCCTTCAGAAAATTACTTGAATGTCCCAAATTAACTTATAAACACAAATATCGCGATGAAATTCATCACAATAAAATATTATGTAAATATAAATATATTCACAAAATTTTATCGGGCTTGGTCCATATTTGCCCCTAGCCCCCATATAAAGCCTCTTTCAGAAAATTAGTTTTTCATCCATAAATTGCTTAAATGTATCGGAACAAGGCAATATTGAAGATAAATGCTTTATTATGAAAAATAAATCACATTTAATATTCATAACTGGTGTAGGGTATCATATGGTCGGCCACGCCCGACTATACTTTCTTACTTGTTTTGTAATTCTGTTTATATGTATCTGTCACAAAATCTTTTATATACCCCCAATACATATATGTATATTAATTACATTGTGGTATTATGTTAGTATTTACCACTCACTCACTAATTAGAGTGTATTTTGTTTGCAGCAAAAACTGTAGTCCTCCGAATCATTAACTTTAATCAATTTCAATTAATGTCATTTAATTCTTGGAATATATTGTTTACATTTCACAAGAACGAATAAACCTCAAAACATGTTTAACCCTTAACAGTGCAAAAGTTTTTGCCAATGTCCATGGATTAAATACATTTTGACATACATACACATACATACAGATTACAAATATGTTTATGAAATGTTATAACAAATATCATTTCGTCAAATATTTAATAGATGTGAACCTTTAGAATCTGAGAAATTTTCTGCAGAAATGTAGGATCTGATTTTTTTTTATAGACAAATTGATTAGAATCTGAGATCTATTTCTAATAAACTGAACTAGAAGTGAATTAGAACTGACTAGAGCAGAACTAAAACTGAACTAGAAATGAAGTAGAAATGAACCAGAAATGAACTAGGACTGAACTAAAACTGAAATAGAGCTGAACTATAATTGGACTAGAACTGAACTAGAACAGAACTAGAACTGAACTAGAACTGAACTGAACTAGAACTGAACTAGAACTGAACTAGAACTGAACTAGAACTGAACTAGAACTGAACTAGAACTGAACTAGAATTGAACTAGAACTGAACTAGAACTGAACTAGAACTGAACTAGAACTGAACTAGAACTGAACTAGAACTGAACTAGAACTGAACTAGAACTGAACTAGAACTGAACTAGAACTGAACTAGAACTGAACTAGAACTGAAGTAGAACTGAAGTAGAACTGAACTAGAACTGAACTAGAACTGAACTAGAACTGAACTAGAACTGAACTAGAACTGAACTATTACTGAACTAGAACTGAACTAGAACTGAACTAGAGCTGAACTAGAAATGAACTAGAACTGAACTAGAACTGAACTAGAACTGAACTAGAACTGAACTAGAACTGAACTAGAACTGAACTAGAACTGAACTAGAACTGAACTAGAACTGAAGTAGAACTGAACTAGAAATGAACCAGAACTGAACTAGAAATGAACCAGAACAGAATTAGAACTGAACCAGAACTGAACTAGAACTAAAATAGAGCTGAACTAGGAATGAACTAGAACTGATCTAGAACTGAAATTAGAACAGAACTAGAACTGAACTAGAACTGAACTAGAAATGAAGTAGAAATGAACTAGATATGAACTAGAACTAAACTAGAACTGAACTAGAACTAAACTAGAATTGAACTGAACTAGAACTGAACTAGAACTAGAACTGAACTAGAACTGAACTAGAACTGAACTAGAACTGAACTTGAACTGAACTAGAACTGAACTAGAACTGAACTAGAACAGAACTAGAACAGAACTAGAACAGAACTAGAACAGAACTAGAACAGAACTAGAACTGAACTAGAACTGAACTAGAACAGAACTATAACAGAACTAGAACTGAACTGAACTAGAACTGAACTAGAATTGAACTGGAACTGAACTAGAACTGAACTAGAACAGAATTAGAACTGAACTAGAACTGAACTAGAACTGATCTAGAACTGAATTAGAACAGAACTAGAACTGAACTAGAGCTGAACTAGAAATGAAGTAGAAATGAACTAGAACTAATCTAGATCTGAACTAGAACTAAACTAGAATTGAACTGAACTAGAACAGAATTAGAACTGAACTAGAACTGAACTAGAACTGATCTAGAACTGAATTAGAACAGAACTAGAACTGAACTAGAGCTGAACTAGAAATGAAGTAGAAATGAACTGGAACTAATCTAGATCTGAACTAGAACTAAACTAGAATTGAACTGAACTAGAACTGAATTAGAACTGAACTAGAACTGAACTAGAACTGAACTAGAACTGAACTAGAACTGAACTAGAACTGAACTAGAACGGAACTAGAACTGAACTAGAACTGAACTAGAATTTAACTAGAAGTGAACTAGAACTGAACTAGAACTGAACTAGAACTGAAGTAGAACAGAACTGAACTAGAACAGAACTAGAACTGAACTAGAACAGAACAGGAACTGAACTAGTACTAGAACTGAAATAGAACTGAACTAGAACTGAACTAAAACTAAACTAGAACTGAACTAAAACTGAACTGGAATTGAAGTAGAACTAAACTAGAACCGAAACTGAAAAAAAGGACACTAAATATTAATTTCTTTACATTATAAATACAATTTTATTTTTATAAACAATTGGTTGTAATTTCATTATTAATTTTAACTTAATTTAGAAACTTAAAGAGAAATTTTAAATTTCTACCGGTTTAATTGTTATAAATCTAGATAAAACAAATGCCACCAAAACGGTGGCACAAGCAAAACAAAATGCAAATGTATAAAATGATTCCTCCGTAAAGATGTCAGTGAAGGAGGGTATATCACTATAAATTTGCTCAATAACAGCTAAGGTACCCTTATGTTTGCGAGCCATTTTATATTGTTGTGTTGTTGTTTAAGTTTTTCTTTTTACTGGGCCAGCAAAATAGGTTTTAATAATGATGATTTACTTCTTCTTTTGGGCTTTCTTGCCACCAGCACCACCAGCTAGTTTTTGCTTTTCAGCTTTAGTTAAAACTTTACCTTTCTCCTCTTCTTCGGGTGCTAAGGGTGACACGTGTTTATTACACAGTTGTAAGATTTCCAAAGTATTTAAATTGTTGCTTAAGAAACGTACGTCTTTAACTTTTAATTGTTCTGCAACGAAATGAAGAAAATAAACATGTTGTGAAAATGATGAAGAAAAGATTAAACTTTAAGCCTGAAACAAGGAATTAAAAAATACAATGTTGTTGGTTTTTATGTGTTATGCATAAAGGTTTATAATTTTCTCTTGTAAGATTTTAAATGGGCAGCTCTGCTAATAAAAAAAGGCTATTTAAATTATTAGTATATATTTCTTTTTTTTTGGATTTTAAATGTTACGTGTATGCAATGTCTTTGGAAACCCAAGAAGTCTAGCAAGTTAAAAAGAAGTCTGTAGTTGGAAATACTATATAAGATAATGGTAGAAAGAAATGGTTTGCAAAATAATTAAAGTTTTTTATAGTTAAAATGCAGGTAATAAAAACATTGAAAATTGCTTAATTTCTCTTAAGTGAAGGAAACATTCAATCATTTTGATTTCTATAAAAAAATTTGAAAGAACATCACAACATTTCTGAGAATCGGAATACCTACTTCTACAGAAAAGTAGAACCTGTTATAATTTTCTACACATAAGTTCATAATCTGTTAACAATTTTTTCAGAAAAGTCGTTTACGTTTTCTATAGAAAATACGATTATAATCTGACTTTTTCTGTGAAAAATTTAATCACAATATGAACTGTTGTAGTTGAGTTCTACTTCAGTTCCAGTCCAGTTCTAGTTCAGTTCTTGTTCAGTTCTAGTTCAGTTCTAGTTCAGTTCTAGTTAAGTTCTGGTTCAGTTCTAGTTCAGTTCTAGTTCAGTTCTAGTCCAGTTCTAGTTCAGTTCTAGTTCAGTTCTAGTTCAGTTCTAGTTCAGTTCTAGTTCAGTTCTAGTTCAGTTCTAGTTCAGTTCTAGTTCAGTTCAAGTTTAGTTCTAGTTCAGTTCTAGTTCAGTTCTTGTTCAGTTCTAGTTCTGTTCTAGTTCTGTTCTAGTTCTGTTCTAGTTCAGTTCTGGTTCAGTTCTAGTTCAGTTATAGTTCAGTTCTAGTTCAGTTCTAGTTCAGTTCTAGTTCAGTTCTAGTTCAGTTCTAGTTCAGTTCTAGTTCAGTTCTAGTTCTGTTCTAGTTCTGTTCTAGTTCTGTTCTAGTTCTGTTCTAGTTCTGTTCTAGTTCTGTTCTAGTTCTAGTTCTGTTCTAGTTCTAGTTCTGTTCTAGTTCAGTTCTGTTCTAGTTCTGTTCTAGTTCTGTTCTAGTTCAGTTCTGTTCTAGTTCTGTTCTAGTTCTGTTCTAGTTCTGTTCTAGTTCTGTTCTAGTTCTGTTCTAGTTCTGTTCTAGTTCTGTTCTAGTTCTGTTCTAGTTCTGTTCTAGTTCTGTTCTAGTTCTGTTCTAGTTCTGTTCTAGTTCAGTTCTAGTTCAGTTCTAGTTCAGTTCTAGTTCAGTTCTAGTTCAGTTCTAGTTCAGTTCTAGTTCAGTTCTAGTTCAGTTCTAGTTCAGTTCTAGTTCAGTTCTAGTTCAGTTCTAGTTCAGTTCTAGTTCAGTTCTAGTTCAGTTCTAGTTCAGTTCTAGTTCAGTTCTAGTTCAGTTCTAGTTCAGTTCTAGTTCAGTTCTAGTTCAGTTCTAGTTCAGTTCTAGTCAGTTCTAGTTCAGTTCTAGTTCAGTTCTAGTTCAGTTCTAGTTCAGTTCTAGTTCAGTTCTAGTTCAGTTCTAGTTCTAGTTCAGTTCTAGTTCAGTTCTAGTTCAGTTCTAGTTCAGTTCTAGTTCAGTTCTAGTTCAGTTCTAGTTCAGTTCTAGTTCAGTTCTAGTTCAGTTCTAGTTCAGTTCTAGTTCAGTTCTAGTTCAGTTCTAGTTCAGTTCTAGTTCAGTTCTAGTTCAGTTCTAGTTCAGTTCTAGTTCAGTTCTAGTTCAGTTCTAGTTCAGTTCTAGTTCAGTTCTAGTTCAGTTCTAGTTCAGTTCTAGTTCAGTTCTAGTTCAGTTCTAGTTCAGTTCTAGTTCAGTTCTAGTTCAGTTCTAGTTCAGTTCTAGTTCAGTTCTAGTTCAGTTCTAGTTCAGTTCTAGTTCAGTTCTAGTTCAGTTCTAGTTCAGTTCTAGTTCAGTTCTAGTTCAGTTCTAGTTCAGTTCTAGTTCAGTTCTAGTTCAGTTCTAGTTCAGTTCTAGTTCAGTTCTAGTTCAGTTCTAGTTCAGTTCTAGTTCAGTTCTAGTTCAGTTCTAGTTCAGTTCTAGTTCAGTTCTAGTTCAGTTCAGTTCTAGTTCAGTTCTAGTGCAGTTCTAGTTCAGTTCTAGTTCAGTTCTAGTTAACTTCTACTTCTGTTCTAGTTCAATTTTAGTTCAGCTCTATTTCAGTTCTAGTTCAGTTCTAGTTCAGTTCTAGTTCAGTTCTAGTTCAGTTCTAGTTCAGTTCTAGTTCAGTTCTAGTTCAGTTCTAGTTCAGTTCTAGTTCAGTTCTAGTTCAGTTCTAGTTCAGTTCAAGTCCAGTTCTAGTCCAGTTCTAGTCCAGTTCTAGTTCAGTTCTAGTTCAGTTCTAGTTCAGTTCTAGTTCAGTTCTAGTTCTGTTCTAGTTCTGTTCTAGTTCTGTTCTAGTTCTATTCTAGTTCTATTCCAGTTCTATTCTAGTTCTATTCTAGTTCTATTCTAGTTCTTTATCAAAATGCAATTTTAATTAGTTTTTTCAAAAACTATTTGTGGAACTATCTCGAAAAATAATTAGTGTTCGAAAACAACTGCCAAAACTCACCTTGTGCCTTATCGATTAAAGAGAATTTAACTTCAGCTGGTTGACGATTGCACACAATATCAGTTTTTACCACACACTTGGGATTTGTAGCCACCACCCGTGGATTAGACAATATAAATAGGAATTCTCTAGAAAAATAAAATCAAATTAAAATACTTGTTTTAAAAATCGCAATGAATAATAATTGTATTTTTTATATTTCCTGTTCTTTTTTAGTGTTGTCGTTTCCTTAAACTCTATTCACATTGGCGTGTAAAATAAAAGCCTCAAACTGACGCCAACACCGACAAAAATGTCAACGGAGCGTGAGCTGGCTCCTGGTGGGCCAGCTCAGCTCCACAGCTTACCTATGACGTTTCCCGATATAGGAGCTACACTGGCAGTGGGTATTATTGGAAAAGTTTATGGTAAGTTATGTTTTTTCTAAATTTATAAAATTTTTAAGTTTTTTTAGATTTTTATTTTGTTTTTCTTTTGCTTTGTGCTGTTGACCATCTGCCCAAATGGAAAATTCTGACAGTTAATAGAAAAAATAAGAAAAAAGAAAATGTATTTAATATTCTCTTATGTCATTTTTTCTGCGCAGACGCTTTTCTTAGAAAATTTTTGGGGAAAATTTTACATGCAGTGAATTTCTATTAGATGCACAATGTTTTTATATTATGTACAACTTTGACTATATTAAATTAAATCTTTAAATACAAAAGTAAAGTCTATCAAGACCGTTTTATGATACCCCATACTGTTATACATACATATGTAACAAAATTTCGCAACTAGTAGTTATAAATCTTGAAGCTTTGGTCAATAGTAGACCAAACACGCAACATAAAAGAAGTAAACAATCTACATCCTTTAAATTTAGTTCGTCGCCTGTAATTTGTAAACAAACATTTTTTAGTATACCACCCCCTCCCAATTTCTCTTTTGTTATTGATTTTTCTTTTTGGTGGTTTAATTTTACTCTTTAAACTCCTAAACTCACCTCGTTGCTTTTACATTTTCGGCAAATGGATCAAATGTGATTGTTACGCGTTTAACTCCTTTTAGATTTACACGTTTCATTTCTTTGCCAATAGCTGAAACAATACCTTGAGATCGTTTTAAAGCACCACTATAATATATAGACATTTTGTTTTATCACTTTCAATAACTTTTACGTTTAATTTTTAATTTAACTTTTTGGTTTTATAATCTTTTGCGTGATTTCCACAACACACAATCTCTTTAAATGTCACAATTGACAATTCCAACTAAACGGTAATGCCAAGTTTATGTACTATGTGCTGGGTTAAATAAAGCCAACAGCTTTTGTTTATATCAACTGGAAAAAACGCCATTTTTCTTATAGCATTTCAAAGTTGCCAGTATTGTTTTTTATATTGTGAAAGAACGAACGTCGAGAATCGTGCAAGTGTGAAAAAGTAAAATTGTTAATTTTCAATTGGATTTTTTGCATAATGCATGCAAAGCAATTATAGTTATTTTACAATAAAAACAAATTGTAATATCTAAATAATAAAATGTATATAAATTTATAAGCCAAATTGCAAAAATAAAGCCTATAAAACAAAAGTAAAATTTTGTGTGAAAAAACGGGCCATCAGCAATTCAACACACATACACAACACATTGTTATAAAGAAAAAAGAAATACGTACTTCTAAATCGTTGTCCGTGGCGTTTGTGTAGTCAGTTACCCACCGTGTTGTATATGCTTAAGATAATCATCATAAAAATTAAATAAAAGGCCAAAGGAATACGTCTCTCTTAACATCTTGATCTTGAAAAGAAAGACTCCTCTAGCTAAATATCAAATATCGGCGATTCTCGACAACAACAAAAACAAAATATAAGCAAGCATTTAATTAAAAGTGATTCTTAGAGTAATAAATAAATAATTTTAACATAAGCAAAAGCAGCAGTGTTAAAAATTTGTGCCTAATATTGTGTTCTTAATTTGCTGTGTTTCAAATACAAGGAAATTTAGACAAAAATTCTTTATAATTCTAAGCAAAAATTAATATTTGCCATTTGTGTAAACGAAACCAAACGAAAACAAAAAAATATTAAAAAAAATTCTCTACCACAAAGTGATACAATAAAAGGCTGAAACAAATCCATTAATTTATCATTACTACAAAAAAAAAAAAACATAAAATAAATATTAAAGGCTTTTAAGTACTAGTTTAAAAAAAAAGTTAATTAAAATGTATCCCGTTGGACAACGTAAGTTTAATTTTAAGTGTGTGTGGAAAAAAGAAAAGATTTTTGAAAACTTTTTTCATATCAAGTTTTTTTATACATAAAATATATTTTTCGTCTACTTTTTTAAGTCTTTCTTAGTTATAAATGAAAAAAAAAAATATATGTGTGTATTATTCTCTTTTGGTGTTCTAATTCGTTGCATTTTTAAAAGAGCAGACAGACAAAAGCAGCAGTAGGCGTTGACTGCGAAGTCAGCTGTAATAAAACTTGGCAGCACTGTTTAATTGCAATACTACAAAATGTATGATGAGAGGAAGTTCTCTCACTTCCAACAATATTACATTTGTTTTATTTTAATGAATGAATAAATATTTATAAATAAATATTAGTTGTGTTTTGTTGCTATCAATGAGTGTTAACGCTTAAAGTTAGCAACAAAACGAACATTACCTGACTTGGCATCACTCCACAGAAGAAATCTGCTAAATCTTGAAATTATTTACAATTTCTTGAAAAGGTTTTTTTATTTGGTAATTTTCTTTGATTTAAATTTTATTTTAAAATATTTTTTTATTGTTTGACATAAACACATTAATATTTGTATTTTTATTTTTGAATTGGTAGCACTTTTATCAACGTTAAAATTAACTTGTATAATTTTACACGTTAACTCCTAACGTTTATAAATTTTAAATTTATATGAAATTGTCTTTGAACGTTAGCAACAAAACACAACTATTAATTCATGTTTTGGAAAATTAAACAACTGTTATAATTACACTATTTTCTGAAAAATGACATTAATAATGTAATTGTAACTTTCTAGTAAAGCATTTGTTTAGATATTCAGCAATAATGATCCCACACTCTCCTTAATATTATACCAATATGCTTAAAAACACTTTGAGAATCGATGGGTAAATAAAAGATTATGCCTAGACCTCTTTAGACTTAGCTGGAAATGTAATTTGAACAAACAAATGTTCTTTGTTGCTGAAGTTGACTGCACTTGGCCCAATAATTTAAGTAGTTTCGGTACCTAGAAACGACTAGGAAAACAGCGCCATGTTAACCTAACAGTTCCTTCTGTCTTGATGTCATCCCAACTTTTACATCTAACATTTGGATGCTCCCTCGAGAACCGTAAGGAAAGACTTATTAAGTATCAGTAATGCTAAAATGAACAGCCAAATCACAAACTTTGTGCTATTCCTTTTCTATTTTGACACCTAGGCCGGTACTTATAATCTATATCTTGAGATGTGAAACAGTCAGTGATAACTAACTACTAAAAGGTATAATATATTGTGAGCAAAGTATTTCTTAAGGCTTTGACTTCCAGAGTTAATCAATGGTATTTATTTCGATTTCCTTAATGAATACATTTGCGGCGATTAATCTTAAATACCAAAAGAGTGGTCATACACAATTTAGGCACCATTTGAACCTATAATAGTTAATTTCATTAGGAAATAACTAGGAGAAAATTAAACAAAATGTTAACAAATTTATTAATAAAATGCACTTTTTTTTCTTATTTATTTTTATTTTACTTTTTTTTTTATTTCAATGTTTTATTATTTCTTCTCCTCTCCTTTATTTTTGTTTATATTTATTTATTTTTTTTATTTTATTATTATTTTTTTATTTTATTATTATTTTTAATTTCATTTCTCAATTATAGAAACACAATGGACTCCTTCGCCCACAAGGCCTCAGAGCCCTTCGCAACAGCAGACTAGCTTCGATACACTCACATGTAAATTAAAATTGAAATCCTTAATCCTTAAAAGAAAAATTTGTTTGATTGAAATCTATTAACTCAACCCCAAGTTTAATTTGTTTTTAGTTAAATTTTTTATTTCATTAATTCTTTAACACACTAACCAAAAATCCTTATTTTACTTAATTTCTTTGTTAAAATTTCATGAGATATTAAGAAATGTTTCAAAATTTGTTACAATTGATCAAAACCTACTACTAACCTAAAATCTAACTAACCAAAAAAAAAAACAATTTCGGTATATATTTTGTGCACTGCTAGTTAGTAGAAAAATATTTAGATGAATTTCTGAAATGTTTTAGAAAAACAAGTAAAATTTTATTTGATTTGTTTGATTTGAACAAGGAATGTGATTTGAAGGTGTGGGAGTTTATATAGTCAGGGTTTGACTATAGATCTGTCTATAGTCTTGATTATAGATCTGTCTATATTCTTGACTATACATCTGTCTATACTCTTAACTGTAGATCTGTCTATAGTATTGACTATAGATCTGTCTATAGTCTTGACTATAGATCTGTCTATAGTCTTGACTATAGATTTGTCTATAGTCTTGACTATAGATCTGTCTATAGTCTTGACTATAGATCTGTCTATAGTCTTGACTATAGATCTGTCTATAGTCTTGACTATAGATCTGTCTATAGTCTTGACTATAGATCTGTCTATAATCTTGACTATAGATCTGTCTATAGTCTTGACTATAGATTTGTCTATAGTCTTGACTATAGATCTGTCTATAGTCTTGACTATAGATCTGTCTATAGTCTTGACTATAGATCTGTATATAGTCTTGACTATAGATCTGTCTATAGTCTTGACTATAGATCTGTCTATAGTCTTGACTATAGATTTGTCTATAGTCTTGACTATAGATCTGTCTATAGTCTTGACTATAGATCTGTCTATAGTCTTGACTATAGATCTGTCTATAGTCTTGACTATAGATCTGTCTATAGTCTTGACTATAGATCTGTCTATAGTCTTGACTATAGATCTGTCTATAATCTTGACTATAGATCTGTCTATAGTCTTGACTATAGATCAGTGTATAGTCTTGACTATAGATCAGTGTATAGACTTGACTATATATCAGTGTATAGTCTTGTCTAAAGATCACTCTATAGTCTTGACTATAGATAAGTCTATAGTCCTGACTATAGATAAGTCTATAGTCCTGACTATAGGTCAAATTAAAGTTTTAAATTACTGATTAAATTCACACAACTTCAAATATATTCCTTCTCTCTTATAAAATAACTATCAAATTTATATTTTATTTATTAAACTTTAGCTTAAATTAGGTGTTTTTTTTAGCAAAACTTAAATGTTTAGAAAAATTGTTGTTAAATACTCGTATTTTCTTTTATTTTCCGTATAAAGAGGCATGAATTTTTGTTAAATATTTTATTTCAAATGAATTTCTTTTATTTCACTAAATGTTTTCTTCTAATAATTATACATTTCTTTTTATAGCACCACCAGCACCTGGTTCATCTGTGAATCCCACCGCTGTAACCAGCCCAAGTGCTTCTAGTGTTGCTGTAGGTGGTGCCGTGGGTGGCGCATCGTCCACCCAAGCAGCTGTTGCCTCCGCTTTAGGTGCTTCATCGACCGTAACGGCAGCAACAGCAGCAGCGGCCGCTACTCCCACCACCCAACCTGAACTGCCAGTATTTACATGTCCTCGTCGTCCCAATTTGGGTCGTGAAGGTCGTCCCATAGTACTGCGCGCTAATCATTTTCAAGTTAGCATGCCCCGTGGTTATGTACACCACTACGATATCAATATACAACCGGATAAATGCCCGCGTAAGGTTAATCGTGAAATTATCGAAACTATGGTTCATGCGTATAGTAAAATTTTCGGTGTTCTAAAGCCTGTATTTGATGGTCGCAATAATTTGTATACGCGCGATCCTTTACCAATAGGTAATGATCGTTTGGAATTGGAGGTTACTTTACCCGGTGAGGGTAAAGATCGTATATTCCGTGTTACCATTAAGTGGATGGCTCAAGTGTCATTGTTTAATTTGGAAGAGGCTTTAGAAGGTCGTACCCGTCAAATACCCTACGATGCTATATTAGCTTTAGATGTGGTAATGCGTCATTTACCCAGTATGACTTATACGCCAGTAGGTAGAAGTTTCTTTAGTTCTCCAGATGGCTACTATCATCCCTTGGGTGGTGGTCGTGAAGTATGGTTTGGTTTTCATCAGAGTGTACGTCCTTCCCAATGGAAAATGATGTTAAATATTGATGGTGGGTAATGAGAATGTCTTTTCAAGTTTAGTACTGATCTTTTTTTAAATGATTTATAGTCTCTGCTACGGCCTTTTACAAGTCGCAACCTGTTATTGATTTTATGTGTGAAGTTTTGGATATAAGAGACATTAATGAACAGCGCAAACCTTTGACAGATTCTCAACGTGTCAAATTTACTAAAGAAATTAAAGGACTTAAAATTGAAATCACTCATTGTGGTCAAATGAGACGTAAATATCGTGTTTGCAATGTCACCAGAAGACCAGCACAAATGCAATCGTAAGTTTAGATTCCACTGAAAGAAAGATTTGTCCTAAATGATTAAATCATATGTTTTTGTTTTCTATTAAAAGATTCCCTCTACAACTTGAAAATGGTCAGACGGTAGAATGTACCGTAGCGAAATATTTCCTTGATAAATATCGCATGAAATTACGTTTCCCCCATTTACCGTGTCTACAAGTAGGACAAGAACACAAACACACTTATTTACCCTTGGAAGTCTGTCACATTGTGGCCGGACAAAGATGCATAAAGAAATTGACAGATATGCAAACATCTACCATGATTAAAGCCACCGCACGCTCAGCACCCGATCGTGAACGTGAAATTAATAATTTGGTTAAGAGAGCCGATTTCAATAATGATTCTTATGTACAAGAATTTGGTCTTACCATTTCAAACTCTATGATGGAAGTAAGGGGACGTGTTCTACCACCACCCAAACTGCAATATGGTGGACGAGTTTCTAGCATGACCGGACAAGTGAGTTTATAGTTATTGATTCTTGTTTCTTGTAATTATATGTTAAATATCTTTTGCAGCAACTATTTCCACCACAAAACAAGGTATCTTTAGCCTCACCCAATCAGGGTGTTTGGGATATGCGTGGCAAGCAGTTCTTTACGGGTGTAGAGATTAGAGTATGGGCTATAGCCTGTTTTGCTCCTCAACGTACCGTCAGAGAGGATGCTTTGCGTAACTTTACCCAACAATTGCAAAAGATCTCAAATGATGCTGGTATGCCCATAATAGGACAACCTTGTTTCTGCAAATATGCCACTGGGCCTGATCAAGTTGAGCCCATGTTTAAATATCTAAAACAATCCTTTGCCAGTTTACAATTGGTAGTGGTGGTGTTGCCAGGCAAAACACCGGTTTATGGTAAGTTTTACTTCCTTTTGAATTAAAGACTTTTGTTTAATGGTAACTTTCTATTCCAGCTGAAGTAAAACGTGTGGGTGATACAGTTTTGGGCATGGCTACACAGTGTGTACAGGCTAAAAATGTAAATAAGACATCGCCTCAAACACTCTCCAATTTATGTCTCAAAATCAATGTTAAATTGGGTGGCATCAATTCGATTCTGGTACCCTCTATACGTCCTAAAGTTTTCAATGAACCTGTCATATTTCTGGGTGCCGATGTTACTCACCCACCGGCTGGTGATAATAAGAAACCCTCTATTGCTGCTGTTGTAGGCTCTATGGATGCTCATCCCTCACGTTATGCCGCCACGGTACGTGTACAACAGCATCGCCAGGAAATCATACAGGAGCTATCAAGTATGGTACGTGAATTGCTGATTATGTTCTATAAATCGACTGGTGGCTATAAACCACATCGTATAATACTCTATCGCGATGGTGTATCAGAGGGACAATTTCCTCATGTTTTACAACATGAATTGACCGCCATACGTGAAGCTTGCATTAAATTAGAGGCTGAATATCGTCCAGGTATTACGTTTATTGTAGTACAAAAACGTCATCACACTAGACTATTTTGTGCTGAAAAGAAAGAACAGAGCGGTAAATCGGGTAATATACCAGCTGGTACAACTGTCGATGTGGGCATTACACATCCTACCGAGTTTGATTTCTATCTGTGCAGTCATCAAGGTATTCAGGTAAGTTTAGTATAAGATTTGTTTATATTTTACTTGTGTTTTTGTTAAAAACTTATTTATTTTAGGGTACAAGTCGACCTTCTCACTATCACGTTTTATGGGATGATAATCATTTCGATTCGGATGAATTACAATGTTTAACATATCAATTGTGCCATACATATGTACGTTGTACTAGATCGGTTTCTATACCAGCACCGGCATATTATGCACATTTAGTTGCTTTTAGAGCAAGGTAAGTACATTTTATAATGTTAATGTATGTATATGTTATATGCAGAAAACTTAATTAATTCACCATATCAATGTTTTTTGTTCTTATACATAAAGTAATAATTATTTTAAAAAACTTTGTTTCGAAAACATCACTGGAAAATTTGTATTGGAACCACGACTAGTTCTAGAAAGCTTGATTTTAGCCTGTACTCGTTTTATTAAGGCGTTAAGACCAATAATGTCCTTTTGTTCGAAATTGTCACCTTCATGACTGGTTCTGTGGAAGCATTATATAGTCTACACTCGTTCTATGAAATTTTCTAGGGCCTAGTTCTTTTTAGCGATTTGTAACTAGTTACCACTTTAAAAATGAGAACCTTTTAGGAGTTTAATGATCTTTTCCATATCCTCCAGAATCCTGAACGTGTCATCGATCATTGACTCTACTTGGACATGTGATTTAGATAAGAATTATTTGCGCTTCGATACGTCATTTAAGCTTCCTATCTGTTTATGAGTTTCCAGAAGTTTTGTTTGTCTTTTCGAATGACTGGGTTTTATAGTGAGATTAAGAATCTCTTACACTTTTTTCTTTAGGGGACAGATTCTGTAAATCTTTTAAGTGGAAACCCCTTTAGGAGTTTTTGTAGCAGCATCGCCAGAAACTATACATATATATAGATAAATTATTAACTATTCTCATTCGCTCTGGTTATCCAATTCAGTTCTAGATCTAAACCCAGTATCTATCGGCTGGGTTTAAAGAGATTCAGGTTGCAGCTGAGTTAAATTTACGGTGCAGTTAAAAAGATGTTGAAAATTGTGTGGGCCTGTGCCACACGCAGGACAAAAATCTTGAGTGGTGTCGTTTATTCTCGATCAACACGACAAACCGATATTAGTTGTGCCAATAACACTAGTGCGACGTTGTAGGTTTCATTCCGCGTTCGCTAGGGGTGGGGGACGACCTCCTAGTATAATACTATAGCGGTAGGAATTGATGAAGTGTTCCAGCGCTTTTATGTTGGATAGTATTTTTTATGAGTTTTCATCGTCTATGTTATCCTGATGTTCATGAATATCGATCTCATGCAGATGATCCTTCCTGAAATGCCTCGGAGGATGTGTGGTTCTGTTCTCTTTCCGTTAGATTGTGGTTCGGTTGGCCCCTCCGATGACATCCCCGTATGAACTGCTTTGATAGCATGTGTTATGTTTCTTTGCCGAAAGCATCTTCGTCTCGTCATGCTGGTGCTTCCCTGACGTCATTTGAATACTGTTCTAAGGATTGCGTTTTGATAGCTTTCTTCTATTGTGTGTTGGTAATTCTCGGAGTCCACACTAACGCAACGTAGTTTGTGTTTATAGGTGGTTAACAAGGTTTCTTTATCCATTGCTCAAGAGCCGCTTTTCTCTTTCTCTTTTTCTAATGTTTTGTTTCTTTGTTTTTGGATCTGCACTTTATGCGAAAGGAACCTTGCTTACTTACTTACTACTTACTTACTTTACTTACTACTTCTACTTTAATTACTTTCCTTACTTACTTACTTACTTACTTTACTTCCTTCCTTTACTACTTAAAAAAAAAAAAAACTTACTACTTACTTACTTACTTACTTACTTACTTACTTACTTACTTACTTACTTACTTACTTACTTACTTACTTACTTACTTACTTACTTACTTACTTACTTACTTACTTACTTACTTACTTACGTACTTACTTACTTACTTACTTACTTACTTACTTACTTACTTACTTACTTACTTACTTACTTACTTACTTACTTACTTACTTACTTACTTACTTACTTACTACTTACTTACTTACTTACTTACTTACTTACTTACTTACTTACTTACTTACTTACTTACTTACTTACTTACTTACTTACTTACTTACTTACTTACTTACTTACTTACTACTTACTTACTTACTTACTTACTTACTTACTTACTTACTTACTTACTTACTTACTTACTTACTTACTTACTTACTTCTTACTTACTTACTTACTTACTTACTTACTTACTTACTTACTTACTTACTTACTTACTTACTTACTTACTTACTACTTACTTACTTACTTACTTACTTACTTACTTACTTACTTACTTACTTACTTACTTACTTACTTACTTACTTACTTACTTACTTACTTACTTACTTACTTACTTACTTACTTACTTACTTACTTACTTACTTACTTACTTACTTACTTACTTACTTACTTACTTACTTACTTACTTACTTACTTACTTACTTACTTACTTACTTACTTACTTACTTACTTACTTACTTACTTACTTACTTACTTACTTACTTTACTTACTACTTACTTACTTACTTACTTACTTACTTACTTACTTACTTACTTACTTACTTACTTACTTACTTACTTACTTACTTACTTACTTACTTACTTACTTACTTACTTACTTACTTACTTACTTACTTACTTACTTACTTACTTACTTACTTACTTACTTACTTACTTACTTACTTACTTACTTACTTACTTACTTACTTACTTACTTACTTACTTACTTACTTACTTACTTACTTACTTACTTACTTACTTACTTACTTACTTACTTACTTACTTACTTACTTACTTACTTACTTACTTACTTACTTACTTACTTACTTACTTACTTACTTACTTACTTACTTACTTACTTACTTACTACTTACTTACTTACTTACTTACTTACTTACTTACTTACTTACTTACTTACTTACTTACTTACTTACTTACTTACTTTACTTATACTTACTTACTTACTTACTTACTTACTTACTTACTTACTTACTTTACTTACTTACTTACTTACTTACTTACTTCTTACTTACTTACTTACTTACTACTACTTACTTACTTACTTACTACTTACTTACTTACTTACTTACTTACTTACTTACTTACTTACTTACTTACTTACTTACTTACTTACTTACTTACTTACTTACTTCTACTTACTTACTACTTACTTACTTACTTACTTACTTACTTACTTACTTACTTACTTACTTACTTACTTACTTACTTACTTACTTACTTACTTACTTACTTACTTACTTACTTACTTACTTACTTACTTACTTACTTACTTACTTACTTACTACTTACTTACTTACTTACTTACTTACTTACTTACTTACTTACTTACTTACTTACTTACTTACTTACTTACTTACTTACTTACTTACTTACTTACTTACTTACTTACTTACTTACTTACTTATCGGGCCTGTTGTGCGCTCCAATTCATGAAAAAAAAATTGTTCACTGAATGTATTATTTTTCCATGTTCAGAAACTCAGTTTCCTGGACGTAATTCCTAACAACCTTCCAATCAGTGTTAAGAATGTTGTTTGTTTCCGGAATAACATCACTTCCAAGATACTTGGATCTAACTTCGACGAATGCCTGACAGTGGCAAAGAAAGTGCTCCAGAGTTTCATTGTCCTCTCCACATGCTCTACATTCGTCTGAATCCGCACGTCCAATGTTGTATAGGTGTGCACGTAATCCTGTGTGTCCACTCAGAATACGTACCATCACACTAACCTCAGACTTGCTCATTTTGAGGAGATTTCTCGTCTTGCTCTCATCAGGGTCACCCCATAGAATCTTTGTGGTTCTACCACCGTTTCATTATTCCAAGAGGCCTTATGGGATTCTCTCATCCATATTTTTACTTACTTACTTACTTTTTAAGTTATTATTCAAAAACTTTAATCAAACAATATAAAAATATTCCATTAATTTCTATTTTCAGATATCACTTGGTTGAGAAAGAACATGACTCTGGTGAGGGCTCACACCAAAGTGGCTGTTCTGAAGATCGAACACCAGGAGCAATGGCTAGAGCCATTACTGTTCATGCTGATACCAAAAAGGTTATGTACTTTGCTTAAATTTACATACAAACTAAAGTCTATTTATTTTACTGTTCATTAAACGGTCTCTCTCGTACACAATACTTACTACTATATTAAACACACTCTTATGAAAGAACAAAATGCCAAAAAAAAAAAATTTAAAAAAGTTTACATAAAATCTACGAAATTTTAAAACAAGACACAAAATCTTCGAATAACTCAATACAAACACAAATTTAAAAGCATTTTTAACAAATGAAGGTATAAAAAAAGAAAAAAAAACGACAATTATGTACAATAAATAATTGAAATTAATTTAAAAAGAAATTTCTTAGAAAAAAAAGAAAGAAATTTAAAAGGAGGATAAAGAAAATACACAGACATCCAATACAATATTTATAGTTTTTTAGTATTAAGTTTTAGATATTTCTTTTGTAAAAAAAACAAAAGAAATTACACATTTTACACTGTTTAGAAAAACATTTAGAAAAACACAGAATTAAAAACTAAAGAAACCAGTTGTTTTTTAAACAAAATTATAAAACGGATTTGCTGAAATTATATATTGAAAATATTGAAGAAGAAAAAATGTCAAACGTTTTCTAAAAACTTTAAAGAATAAAAAGGTAAATAGGGATCAATAAAAAAAAGAAAAAGAAAAATACAGTTTTAGTTGAAATTTTTATAGTTTTCCTTTAAAAAAAAAGAAAGAGCGTGTGTAAAATTTTATTTATTTTTTTATTGAAATTTTTATGGAAATTTTATTTAAAACCAAAGTTTTAGTTTATGTACTTGATTTTTTGTTTTTCATTATTTTATAAATATTTTGCAAAAATGAGCTCTTTGGGTTAAAACACAATGAAAATTAAAGAACATTTTAAAGGAAAATGAAAAAAAATTTTGGTGTGATAGTCGTACAATTTGTAATTTTTATTTAAAATAAATATAATATAATTATTTGTATTTAAACACATACACTTACCAAAATCAACATAATAAGAAAAAAGAAACAAATGCAATATTTATAATTAAACTTATAAAAGAAAAGAATAATATTTACAAATAATAAACTTGACTTTCAATTAGTTTAAAGTATTTATTATACAAAAAAACGCTAGAAATGCAAAAAAAAACAGATTAACAACAATGGCCTGAAACAACAAATAAACAAACAAGCTACACCAACAACCACAACCAATCACTTGAATTAATTTTAAACAATTAATATTATTAAGTTGGTTTTTACTTTAGTTTTGTTTTTCTTCCTTTTTTTTTTTTTTTGTAATATGATAAGTTTTACCAAATTGTAATGGAAACAGCCAAGCATATTTATTTGTTTTAAGTAGTTTTAGTCTTACTTTTTATTAATTAGTTTCTTCTCTCTTAGTTTTCTTTATTATCTTATAAAACAAACAAAATACATAATTTTAATATGGTGTACGGGTTTTTTTTAATTACTACTATAATTTAACTTAATTTTATTTAATTAAATTAGCTAAAATTTTTCTTCTTTATTAACAATATCAACTAATTAATTCTTTTAATTATTATTATTGTTATTATTATTGAAAAATTTTACTAAAAGAGGACACAGTTGAAGTTAACATTTGATTTATTTATTTTTAATATACAAAACAAAATGAAAATATATAAAATCTTTATAAAAAAAAGCCACAACAAAATAAACGACAGAGCAATTCAATTAGCCACAAAACAAAAACAAAATCAAATTTGTATAATGTAATATTAATTTTAATATAAATTACTTATTTATTTTATAAAAAGCATATAAACATACTTATGGTTCAATTATGGATAGCAACCAACAACCAACTTCAGTTCATTTGCCAGCATTCAACGCAACTGTTATAAAAGATGTTATTATGAACGATAACTTACGTTAGTTGACAAAAAGTTATCGATATTGTATCATCTTTGGTTATTTTGACAGACAATAACTAAAAAAATGTAAACAAAGCATAAATACCATAACAATTTTAAATTAAAGTTATATTTGTAAAAAATGTGAAATTAATTCTGGGATAAAGTGCACATATACACATCCATTTGAATTCAGAATCGTTTTAATCAAGCAACCACAATGTTCTAGTTGCCAATTTGGCAACTGAAATTTTGCAAATGTCGGTTGCCAGTTGACACCTGTAATTTCATTTTGGCAAATGATAACTCAACTGAGGTTGGGTTTCTATCCACAATCGACTTATTATATAAATAATTTTTTTAGGCCTTAACTATTATATCCTCCTTATATGTGTTTAATAGATTTCCTTGGAAATACTTTAACAAATTTGCCACAGTTTTCAAAATTACGTTCAAAAAAGTTCGCCAAAAGTGGCTGTTATGGGGAGTTCATTAAAATTAAACACGAAAAAATAGATTTATAGAATAAACATATAAAAAACGTGTAATCCTTTTGACAGTTTTACACAACACCCCTATCGCCAATCAAAATCAATCAATCCATGAGTTTAATGTATTCGAAAAACCCTATTGTTGTAACGTTAGGCGATTCTCTTTAATACATCCATTCGAAGACCCAAAGGGTACATTGTGATTACCTTTAAGAAAGAACAAAGAATATAGAAACAAAGCAGAATGAGAATGAGAGGAAGAAAGATATGAAGAGTGAAAATCCTCCCCCCAAAAAGTGAAAAGGAAGAAAATGGACAAGGAAGGGAAGTCTCTAGTTTGTGTTACCAATATATGTATGTATATCCCTTGATGAAATCTAGAATGTCCAGCAAGTTACACTCAGCTACATGACCGCGTTCATCTTTGAATCTTTTACCTAACCATTTCAGCCTTAAACTCTAGGACAGTGGCATAAAGTAAACTGTAACTGTTTCTAGCTCTTCTCCTCGTCTTCATACAATCTACAAAAGTTAAGCGTGTTAAAGTCTAAATAAGATCTAAAGGCTTCAATTGCACAGTGATCGGTTTCCCTACCCAAATCCTGATACTCTTCCTCTCCCTAATAGTATTCTGGTTGCTTTTGAGTTCAACTTCGGTCCTAGTGCCTTAGAAAACCTGCAATCCATTATACTGTCTCAGGATCGGTAGGTAGAGTCTTTGAATTATACAGAGATTAGTCTATAGTAATAACCACTAGGAGATTTCTCAACTATTATGGTTTAGAATCGAACCTTGTCTGGTCAATTCATCTGCGATCTCGTTAGCCTGTATGTCACAGTGTTCCGGTAATCAAAAACCACCTAACTGTGTATAACCTGACTAAAACTTCTAGGGCTCTTCTACAGCTAGTTACTTTTAAACATTCTATTGATATGACAATATAAAAGAAACGCGAAAAATTATTCACTTGTCCCTTTGTGATAGAATTTTGTAAATCAACTATTGTGAATGTAGAGTTCTTGGAATATTCTTGATAGCAAATTTTTGTTAGAAAAGAGAAAATAATTTCAAAATTATTCGCAATAAGTGTGAATATTTAATAATTTTGAGAGGAATCTTCAGAATGTTCTAAATTAGTTGTGTTTTTGGAATGAAAAATTGTTATCTACCAAAGATTAAGATTTGTTTTCTTTTCGAAAATTGTTCCTTTTTTGTATTGAATAGTTTTAAAGAAGCTTTCGAAACTTCATTCGTTCAGTGTATTTATCTCGTGAATTTTGAAAACAATTCACAGTTGTTGCAAACAAAATCATCTATTGTGAATGAAGAGTTTACAGAATATTCACGATAGCAACTGCTTACTTGGTTTGTTAACAAGAATGTGAATAGAATTTTCACGATTATTCGCGATAACTGTTATAATACAATTACTTAAGAATATGAATGGAGGATATATGTATATAAGTCCATACTTTTATCTTGTTTTAAACTTCTTTTTATTATCATTTGTTAAACACTTAAAACCAGGCCCCCAATAAGTAAAATAATATATATAATAAAACATATAAATACTATAAAATTGCACTACATTTTAGTTATTATTTTCCATTGTGAACATTTTCGTTTTTAAATAATTATTGTTTCTCGCACAAGTTTCCTTTAGTAAAACATTTATTTTAATTATACTAAAAGGAAATAAGTGTTTAAATTTTAAACGAAACAATACAATCAAATCAAATACTTCAATTCAATAATATTACATACAAACATATATTTAAAACGACTAGATAACTAACATATAAACTTTTAATTGTATTTCATTTTTTTTATTATAATTAATTTTTCTAAAAAAAAAACACTACACAAGGGATTTAATTTAATGTTTAGATTTTAAAATTAATTTACAAAAGAAGAAAAAATACTTAAAATTTACGATAAAGCAACAAGTAAATTTAAACAAAACTAAAAATCAACAACAAAAAAAAATTAATAAAAAAATATAAAAATAAACTTTAAACAAATCTTTTAATAGTTTTTAAGTTCAAAAAGAAGGATTTTCTTTTAAGTTATTTTCAATAAAACAAAAATAACAACATTTTTTTAAATTATTTTTAAATATAATTTTTAATGATGTATTTCTTTTTTTTTTTTAATTTTTGCAAACAAATAAATATTTTATTCTTTTAATATGATAAACAAAACAAGGCATTCACATAGAAATATTAACACTTAATATGGCATGTTATTAATTAATAAGCTTTAAAATATAAACTAGATTTCTGAAAAAAAAACAACAACAAAAACAAAATAAAGTACTTCAAAAGCCACAAAACATTTAAATTTTATAAAGACAAAACAAACAAAAAAATATATATATTATGTGATTTATTAAATTAAAAACAAATGCTAAATAAACATTATTTAATAGCTACAAAATACATACATAAATACTTTAAACAAAAGCAAATGAATATATTCAGAAAAAGGTTTCTTTAAATTAAATTAGACAAAAAAAAAAAAAAAAAAAAAAAAAACAAAGCAAACAAACTAATTACATGTATATTTAATTATAATTCAAAATTATCTTAAAAAAATAAAAACAAAACATATATTAAAAATTGCTTCAATATTAATGTAAACAAATTATCAAGTCTTCTTAATAAATAAAACTTTTTTATGATTATATAATTTTTTTTATAAAGAAAAGCTTATTCTCTTATAAAAAGTTTAGTTGTGAAAACACTAAAGTAGGTTTTGAAACTTTTCGAGTTTACAACAGTAATAAAAAGTGTTGCCAATAAAGGCGGGTTATTATCGTCTATGCAACAGTTCGACTGTGGCCTTTAGTTCTTTCCTTTAATTGTGTTAATGTCTGTGTGGTTAGAGAAATTTTGATAGCTCTGTCAATCTTAACCACAAATGTTCGGAGCGCAAATTTGAAGGCCTGGTGCGACAAAAGTCGAAGTGCTTTACGTGGTCACCTGTCATGATGGCTTTATTTCACAGATATACTTTTACAACCATTTGGTTAGCTTTTCAGACGACTCAACACCTTTCCTTTGTGTTCCTCCTTATACGAAGGTGACAATTTTTTACAAGTACTTCAGCTATCTTATCTTTTGACTATTGTTGCCCCATTGACCAAATTCCGATGTGCAAAAATATCATTTCCGTTTCCAACCACTCAGATGTGATGACCTCTGTTGATTCGGCAACAGCATAATCGGTGGACCGAAATACTTAACACACTGTGACAAGTCTTGCATTCACAGACTAAACTCTGAACGTACCATGATAAAGAAGTAAAATCCAATGGTCTCACTTGTATAAAACACTTTACCACCGACACATTCATTGAGAAAAACATCCGACTCACTCACTCTAAGTATACGGGTGTGTAAGACCGACATAGCCCTACACCTGTACCAACTCAGTCATTCCTCTGCTGGGTATCTGTTGAGTCGACAACATTAATAACTTTTCCCGAAATATACAGGCCTATTATGTTCCCTTTTGTGTGCTTTAGGTATAGGAGAGTGAAGAAACTCCCGGGCAATAATTGTTAATGATTGGCCTGGTAGTCTTAAACATTTCTTTCTCGCGAATTTGGGTTTTAAACCATAGTCACCACGTACAACTCTAAGAGACCTCTCTAATATACGGAACAAGACAAAGTACGAAACTCTGTCCTGTGGGCTACCGATTCTCATGATACCAGATGATATAGGTACTCTGGTTCGACTCCAGGTTAAATCTTTCCAATGTATTATTTGTCACCACCAGTTTATAGTCCCGGCAGACTAGAGATACTGGTAGCACCTCTTTTTTCCCATATTGCAATCACACCAAGATGGGGGAAGTTAATCAAGGTAACACGACCCGTTGAGACCTGGTAAGACACTTGAACAAGTGATTTGTATCCTAAAGATTCTGACGACAATTTAAAGTGCTTGCAACAATTCATTCACGTTAGCTGTTAAGGAAACTGCACCGATATGCTCTTAATTGCATTAATATGGTTCTTGAATATCTGGAAATTTGTCTTTCACTCCTGCAGATTTCAGGGCATGTTCCTTTTGGCTTTTATTTGCATCTGCAGCCACTAATGACCTCAGAGACCGTCATTAGATGCAAGTGCTCGGGAATCGTCTTAGATATCGCTGCAAAATCTTCGAAAACAATTCTGAAACGTTAGCAGTAAATGACATGCCCTGTGGACTACTTTCCAGATTCTTAAATGCCTGGGAAGTTGTATCTTACTATTCCCGATTTCAGAGCATGTTCATTTAGGCCTTTTGGATATTTCGGGGAAGTGGATCCTGAATCAAAATGTCTAGTAAACAACACAATGTTGTCTAGCCGACAGTTACCTGATCTCCTCATGTAGATGATCCATATTTGTCGTCTTTACACATTCCTTAGTGCATTATTTTGGGCCGTTTTAAATCTCTGGATATAGTTCCATATTATAATATTATTCAAATCGATGCGGGAAATATCCGTTAACTCATTCAAAAACAGTTATGGCCAACATAATATCGGACATAGCAGGACAAGCAAAGAAAGTATTCCACAGTCTCATCTTCCTCCTCATTGTTACAACTTTAGTGAAATCATTATAGAGGAGATTCAGTGTCTTAACTAGTGGTCTCATTAAGCAATTCCCTGTCACACGCCTGTTAATATCCACAGACTAATTCGTGAAAGCCTTATAAATTATGACGATCTATTATTGTCGTAGAGGTATGTGGATTAACATCTGCTCTGAGCACCCCTATACCTAAAAAGTTTTAACACAAAACGCTCGGTAATGCTGAACAAAACAATTAAATTCGTTAAAAGTTTTGGACACTCTTGAAACCCTTCTGTTATGACATTTACATTTGTCCGCTTCAAATGAAGTCTAGAATGTGTACAATTAAACTTTGAAAAACCATCTAATATTCCATCCCTGGGTGAGGTTATGTTTAAGCTTCACTGATCTACAAAGTTTCAATGAGTAAAAAAAGGTTTTAAATTTTATTAAGAAGATTTGATTTGATAACGCTATAAAAATATCAGACTGTGTTAAAAAAGGGAATAATAGTTACCACTGGAACACAACAACAACAATTTCTTAAAATAAATTTATTGTAGCAAGATATTTTATAATATTTAAACAACAAAACAAAAAATTAGCTAAAATAAAAATTATTATTAACAAAAAAAGCTTAATATTAAAAAAAGTAAAAGTCCATTAAAAGCTACCATAGCATATTTATTTCTTTAAGCATTAGTTAATAATCTAATTTTATTCTTAAATCATATCCTACGATATCCTACCTACAAATATTTGAAATTTTTTGAACTTAAAATTAAATTTTATTATTTTAACTACTTAATACTACTTATCAAAGCCAAAAAAGAAAAACACACGAAAAACAAATCTAAATTATGTATTCCAAGCAATTATTTACTTCCATTTTAGTTTTCCCTTTTTAAAAAAAAAGAAATTAATATAAATTGTTTAAATTTCCAAGCGTGAAATATTGTTTTCGCCTGGAAAGTAAATGTTTTATTTCTTAATTGAAAACCTTAAAATCAAACTAAGCAATGTTATATTGAAATTATTATTGTTTCTATTTAGTCCATATCCTCTAACTTATGTATCGAATTGTCTCCATAAATAATTTATTTTGAAAAGTGTTCTCAATTTCACATATTCGCGGAAACTAGGATCATAACCCTGAATTTGTTATCAAATGAGC